CTAAAGACACAACCTACCTCATTCAAATCTTGATTCAAAATCAAGAAATAGCAGAAGGAACATTAGAAAGGCTGAAAAAAAACCACTAGGGGGACATTCTGAGCTTCCAATTGGTTATTCATGTCATATATAGAAGTAAGTATATGTAAGGGAGCGTTTCCAAAAATGGAAAGAGGTGAGTAGGGTGGCATTGTATTTGATTTATTACGTGAGCAATATCTTAGCAAATAGAAAAGATAAGACCTTCTTATTTTATATTCTAGCTTGTCAATATTTGTAATTTGAGTTTCTAATATGTATGAAACTATAGACTTAGTATTTTGACTTCACAAACATCTAATTTGAACCAGTGCCGCATTCAACATATCACGTGACACACGAAAATCAATGTTTATCTGTGTTTTTTAAATATTTATTTTAAATTAACAAATTGAGTAATGTATAGTTCTAAAATTTGAATTATAATGTACAGTTTGGTACTAAACTTTTTGACATAAGTTCATGAAATAGTAGTTCAATAAAATTTTGATTGCAAGTCAACAAAAGAGATGACATGGCCTTTCACCTGAGACCCGTCTCAAAAGGGTTAACACAGTTGTTAAACTTTTTTTACACAATTTTCTTTTTGTAAATATAAAATACTGTCTTTCAAGATTTTGATTTTCTTGATACTATTTTGAAAACTTCACTTATTGCTTTTAGAGCTAACAACACTAATGAGCCATGCACACATTTTTCAGTTAACATTACAAGGCACAATTGCATACACAGATCATAAAAGGTCATACAAAATTGTAACATTTTTGACTATAAATATCAAGCTAATTTTTTTTATCAGAATTTATAATACAAATACTTTACATTCAAAATAATTAACAAAATTTAAATTTTGGATTTTAGACATTAATCACAATAATATCAATGGAAGTACTATTTCTAAACAATAATATTATAAAAAGAAACAGAGGTGAAATGGGTATTTGCTACCCATTTCACGTTTATTCACCATGAATACTCTGCATAAATCATCTATAAAAAATATATATATATATACATACATCATGATTTTTTTATACAGAAAAATTTTTCACACAATCCCTTCAAAAGTTAAAAATTATTGTGTATATTGACAAATTTCATCAAACTTGAACAAAAATGTTATTTAATATTTTATAAAGAAAAAAATGGAAAGTTCAAATATTTTCAATTACAGATATTTTTAAACATAATACTTTGAAATTGTGCAAATACTTAGACTACATATGTGAAAAATGTATCAAATTATAACTTTTTATAAACATAATACTTTAAAATTGGTACTATTACCAAAAAATGCATAAAGTAGATACTTTACTCAAACATTCTGACAGGTAAAAATTATAAACATTTAGTTTCAGTCTTAAGTCCATATCATGTGACAATTAATTGAAATATTCACTTTATATATTTTCTCTATAGAAATACTTTCAGAAGAACATCACATAGTTTAAATAATACAACATATTTGTCTTCTTAAATATTCATATTAATCAACATTTAATCAGCTTAAACACCCAGCAACTTACTAACGATCCAAGGCCAATGCATTAAAAGGATAAATTGTCACTGTTATTGCATACAGGAAAAAAAAAGAAAAGGTCTTACAATTTCTTAAGGCAATGTATGTGTAAATGCTGGTATAGACTTCCAGACAAACTTTTGAAATCATTCTGACATTATCTTTACTAGAAACTTACCACAGAACAAGACAATAAACCCTATCTTGAATATATACCAGAAATCCTACTTAATTAATAATCAGAAATAATCGGAACAACAATTTAGACATACAAATATGTATAAAATGTAATGCAATGCAACATGATAATGTTAGAAAATTATGTATTTTAACATTGAAACAGTCAGAAAACATTATTGTAATCTTGGTTTCAAACTAAACTTTTAAAATTCCAGTAAATACAATATGCTAAGCACAGTTAACAATGTTTATCTATTTCCATGTCACTTTTTGATGTGTAATGCTACTTCACTTCGTTCAATCTTAATCAATGCTTTAGCCAAGTTTCCTATAGTTGCTTGACAAGGACACCTTTCCTTCCATGAGGACAGTGTTCGGTAAATAACTTCTTGTAAACCATGATCTTTGTGGTCAAAGAACAAAATATCTAATTCACCATTGCTGAAGTTGGCACCTTTGGAAAAAAAGTAAGTGTCATTCTGAGATGAAATAAATAATTACTCAGATAAGTTGTCAATTTACACACATGAGATAACACTGTAAATTGTTAGTATAGTACATTATGTCCTTTTCTTTCAAAAAGCAAAGTTAAAGTACAATAATATTACACTAAGAGGATTATGTTTTTATATATGTGTTAGCAAACGTGCCCTGCAATGCCAAACTTACAAATGAATTCCATAAATGTGGGCATGGGCCACCCATTTTCACTATTTTGGGCTGCAGAACATGAACCATTCATCCAATACAAAGAAACATATGCTCTGTGAGGCATTAAATATCACTTGTGATTGGCATCTTTACAAATTCTTCTCTAGTTCTCCTCACTCAGTTGAGCCCTCATTTTCAACATTAAGACAGTGACATATGAACTGCATGGGGGTATCAGATTTCCCCCTACTCAATTTTATCAAAAGTAGTTGTCAGTTCCTCAAAAGAATTTGTGAAAACAGACATATAGCTGCATTATATATATATATATATACAGACACACACACACACACATATATATATATATTTAGATTTTGTTAGAAAATTAAGTATGTTTACATTTTCATAAACTGTAAATGTATTTCCAATAATATTACCTCCACTAACACTATAGCTATTTCTCGATCTCTGGGGTTTCCACTCTTTGCCCATCTAAGCATTGAAAATGCTTGCTCCAGTCTTTCATACCCCACTTGAATGCCCTTTGCAAATTCTAATTTGCAAAATTCTCCACCAACTTCAATGCACCCTCTATCTAGGTACTGTATATAGGCACCTCATTCAGATAATGTAATCACTTTTTCAAGACATAAAACAGCTTTTAGTGGGGAAGTGTGGCGGGAGAGTGTCAGCAGAGGTAAATATTATTGAAAATACATTTTCAGTTTAGGAAAATGTTAACTTCCAAAACACACTTACCTCTGCTGACACTATAGCTAGAATCCCACATTGAGATGGTGGAGGGGCCAATGCAGGCATGAACCATACAGAAAGTGTCTGTATAGAACAGGAGTGTACCAAGATAAAGATGGTACAAGAGTGGGGGAATTGCACTACATCTGGAGCAGATATGCTCTTCACCAGGAACTGAGTTCCTATATCAGAGGTGCAATAGAATATGAGTATTCATCAATATAGGCCAGCCCCAACAAGATAACCAAGGTTCGGAATTATGAGGAGATAGAAGACCTCCTTCTATGAACATTATATGAAACCAGCATTGATCAAAGAGAAGGGCCATGCACCCCCCCAACTGGATAGTTTCATGTCAAATTTGAACCAGAATTACAAGTAGGCTCCCGCAGAGGTTGGTGCCACTCCTTCCGACATCTGGGAAAAACATCCAGGGACCTGAGTAGGAGGGTCCCCAACTTCACCCTCGTCTCCAAGAGTGGAGAAACACACTCAAACACTCTGGAGGAAAAGCTTCTGTCCTCCACCCCAGCGACTGGAAACTGTAGGTGGTAAAAACTCCTGAGCTCCACTAATAAAGTTTGGAGGGAGGGGTAGTACACATTGGGGAGTCCAGTGCTCTGGAAACTGCGCAACAGATGAACCAAGTTCCCTACAATTTTAAAGCACACTGACCCCAATTTATTCAACCTGAAGATTGGCAGGGATGGGCAGGATCCCCTTTAGCTTTATTCACGATAGTCCACGAGTGGCAGTCCATAAATAATAAGGTAATACCATCCAGTAGGCACCTAGATTGTCTTATGGAACACCCTGTTGCAACCTGTAGTAATTATAGTGAAATTGGTTGCTAGTGCGGAATTGAAAAGAGAAAGCATACCTGCCTGGGCAACACTCCCCATAGAGTGGGATCCAGTGAAAAATAAAAGGGACCCTGGAAATAAAAGAGTATATGATTGAGGAAAATACTCACCTCTGGTTAAAATCTAACAAATGTGATCAAAATAGCTACAGGGGGTACTTGAAAACCCTCAGTAGAGGAAACTGCCAGATCATGTAAGTAATGAGATAGGAAAGTATCAGGAGTAGTCCACATACCAGCCCACACAATGTCTTCCAGAGGGCAATTCAACCAGGCGGCTAATGACATAGAGACATGATGAATCTGGCGAGATGTGACGATAATCCATTATAGGCCATGTGAATCAATTTAAGAAGCCACCTAATTAGGCTAATGGGAGATAAGTCATGGAAAATAGAGGGATTCCAATGAATGAACAAATGATTCCAAGTACCTTGAAATGAGTTAGTATGAGCCACATAACACTTGAGGGCCCTAACAGAACATAACAAATAATCAGGATCAGAGTGATCATGAAGGTGAGAAATGGCTGGCAAATGGCTTAGTGAGAAGAATCTTTCCCCTTCCCCAAGTGCCAGAGACCTATTGGGGTGAAGCAGGACAAATGTGGAAGGATAAAGAGTCTGATGCATATGGATTGCAAACAACTCTGATTGATGATGTCCACAAGCCAACAACAACAAAAAATACAATTTAAGAGAAAGTTGAAACAAAGAACACGAAGCTAGAGGCTGAAAGGGAGGATGAGACATTTCATGTAAAATAACTATAAAATCCCAATTCGGTAACTGGAAAGGTCATTTGGGTTGAAGAATATGAAAGGATTTGAGTAGACCTGATAGTACTGAGGATTCAAAATTATTCCAATATTTGGAATACCCAAAAATAGTGGATAAGGATGCCTTATATAAAAACACCATAGATGAAGCAAGACCCCTCTCAAATACCAAAGTCATAAAATGGGAAATGGTAGATACTTTAGGATGAAGAGGGTTTAAATTCCTTTTAATACACCACTGATGATAACTATTCCATTTGTATTGATAAATGGCTGTGGTTGGCCTATGGAGAAATTTAGTTAAATACAGAGAAATTAAACCCTATGTTGGGCAAAGGACCGCACAACTTCCAAGCATGAAAATTGAGTTTCCGAAATCTGGGTGGAGAATGTTTGACTGAGGTTGTCTCAAAGAGACTGCCAATGTGGAAGAGGTAGAGGTGGACATTCCTGCAGATACCGAAGAAGCAGAAACCACATTTGAGCTGGCCAATATGGTGCAACCAACAGAACTCAATAGGGAGTGGAACGAACCATAGTCAGAACCTACAGCAACAGCCGAATCAGGGAAAAGGCATACAGATGTAAACCTGTCCAGTCCTGACAGAACGTTGGAGACTCAAACTGAGAGCAAATGCACCGAAAAACCCTGTGATGTAGCATCAGTTCCGTCGGAAGAATCCGGTTGGGTCGAGACAAATGATCTGATATTAAATTCATCACTCCTGGAACATGACATGCTAAAAGACTGATACGATGGGAAGGAGCCCAATAGAGAAGATCCAAGGTACAAAAACAAAGATCTCGAGAATGTGTGCCTCCTTGACGAGAATTCTGAGATACCACCATGGAATTGCCAGAATGTATCATGACAATTTTTCCTTTCAAGAGAGACAGACCTTGAACCATTGCCCAGTTTACTGCAAAGAGTTCGAGAATGTTGATATGGAGGGTAGACTCATCTTCCATCCAAATACCCTGGAACTTCTGACTTTGAAGATAAGCTCCCCATCCTTGAAGAGGTGTGTCTGTGAACAGATGGATCTCAGGACAAGGTGGTGGAATGGGTACCCCGATAGTAGCGCTGTTCTGATCCAACCATCATTCACAATCGACGATGTTGCTCCTGAGTAATGAGAATGAGACAGGATGATCTAAAGGATCAGAATGCATGATCCATTGGTTGCATAGTGACCACTGAAGGGACCTCATATGTGCTTGTCCCAAAGGAATGAGAGGTTTGGGGGATGCCCACATCCCCAAAAGAGAGAGAGAGAACCATTCACGCAGTAGGAGAAGGAGACATAAGTAAATGCCTGATGGCTCTTTCCATGGCTTGAAGCTGATAGAGGTTGGTTGAGCGCGACTTAACTGAGTATTGAAAAACACACCCAAATGGATGAGATATTACATCGGTGACAGAATAGATTTCTCTAGTCTGATAAGGAAGCCTGATTTTGTTGCTTCTGATAGGAGAATTTGAGAGTGTTGTTCTGCTAATTGATGGGATGGTGCCACAAGGAACCAGTCATCCATATAATGATGTGTGCACAGGCCCAAGGAATGCAGTTGATGAGAAAAAGCTCAAACAATTCTAAAGAAGACATAAGGTGCTGATGCAAGACCAAAAGGTAGAGTCATGAACTGCAGCACCTGACCCTTCTGCAAAAATCTGAGAAACCTCTCAGAAGATTCCACTATGGGAATATGGGAATAAGCATCGGTAACCATCGTAGGTTGAGAAAAGATTCCATTGTAAAGCGAGGAGGATCTAAAAATTGGTGGAGTCGAGACAGATTGATGATTGGATGCCAATCTCCTGTCTTCTTTGGTACAACAAATAAATGGGAATAAAATCCTGGAAGAATAGGACTAACAACTCTCTTATGGCCTGGAAACGAAGTTCCACTTGCCATGGATCTGTTGGAGGTGAAAAGGTAACATTTTGTGCAGATAATGGTGGAGGTAATGTAAACTGAATGACCAACCTTGAAGACAGAACATGGAGTACCCATGGATCCCTTGAAAGAATTCCAGATGTCCAGAAAGTGATGTAATCATGCTCCCACTGCTCTCCCACCCACAGGATAGTCACCGACTCATTTGTTTCCGGTCCACCCAAGCCAAAGATCTTCTAGAATACGGACGGACTCTATTATGGGAATTGAAGGATGGAGTTGGGAAACTATGAGCCAACACTCCCAAATTATCACCAGAAAGGTGAGAAGCCAATGATGATAAAGAAGAATATAAACGAGCTGAATCAATTCGTGAAACCAGAGAAAGAATTGAAGAAGACAATCTGACTGAGGTAGATGTCAGTAAAATCCCCAACTCGTCCTCAAATTGCTGAGGGGAACATTGATAGGCTTCCAACAAAAGTTGGATTGAAGATAAATACCTCAGGACAGTTGTGAGAGTAAGATGAATCTGAGAAAACTGTGATCTGTTTAAAGTGATCACAGGTTCAAAAAAATGAGTCCATCCATTGAGAATCTAAATATATCTCCTCCTGGTGGTGATAAGCCAAAGCACTGTTCCGATAAATGTGAGGGACAAGGCATAGCTATCCCATTGCATAACTGAACAGCAAATCTCCAAGCATGAAAAGCAATATTAGGAGAACGTGGGAAAAACCAAGTAGTCACTTGCTATCCTTTCTACCAACAAGGAAGGAGTAGAGTCAAATACAATAGGAAAGACCCCCAAAACCTCACAAACCCGAGTAACCAACAGAAGAAAAGTGGCTGGAGATGTCTGATCAAGATGATCCTCTGTTGAGGCCAACCTAGTAAAAGAAAGAGCCAGAAAAAGCAAGTCTAAATTCTTCCAGCTGGTCCTGGGTCATTTGCAAAAGGTGCCTCAGAACACCCAGGAGAGACACCCTTGGTCTGCATATACGTCTCCATCTCACAACGGATCATATCACGGACAACTTCAACTGAGGGTGACCCCTACCCTTGCCATTGACAAACACCAGACAGCAGAGGTGGAAGAGTAAAGGTCTGGTTGGCCTGCATAGTAGAAACATTAACTCGGGAATTAATACCCATCGTTACATTTTTTTTTGTTAAAGTAATTTATAATTATAAATGAAGATATATAATCATAGTAATGCCAACCACGATCAAAGTCACCAACGTAAATTGTGAATAATCACAACACTCCTGTTTGATACAGAGCACATTGAAGTTGGTGGAGAAATTTGCAAATTAGAATTTATTAGGGCAATTGAGTGGGGTATAAAAGACTGGAGAAAGCATATTCAATGCTTAGATGGGCAAAGAATGGAAACCCTGGAGATCAAGAAACAGCTATAGCTATAGTGTCAGCGAAGGTAAGTGTGTTTTGGAATTAATGTATTATGTATTGTATTTAATTAGGTTGGTTGAAGAGCTGTGGCAATGATGCAAAAGCACTAGCAACCTACCAAAACCAAAAATATAAATAAAAAGATATGATACTTCAAACATGGTGGTGCTTTAAATATTTTTTATATGTCTATTATGCTCAAGAAGATCACACCCTTATATATACAAATACTTTCTTCTAAAGTTGTTCAATCCAAGAAGGGTAAATGGGTCTATGCAACTATTTTTTAATTAAATTTCAATTTATTTACTTTTTTTAAGTCAATTATGTTTGATCTAACAGTTATGACAGCTTTAGGTGTTTTTCACCCAATCTTATCTGAAAAGGCCTCACATTTGACTAGTTTTAAAGTCACATTATAAGGATTTTGGACAACTGTTACCCAATCTCATCTGAAAAGTCCTCACATCTGTTTAGTTTTAAAGTCACATTATGAGGGCTTTAGACAACTGTTATTCAAATCACACTGTGAAAGCTTTAGATGATTGTTTAACTTAGGAGTAAAGTTAGACCTAGCAGAAATTTATAAAAACAAAAGTAATTTATTTGATACAGTAGCAGTTATCTACTATATAAGCTGTTAAATAAAGTGATATTCTAATAACAACTTAAGCAAAAGGAGTGTATTAGTGTAAGCTGAAAAACAATTCTGGGTAGCATTTTAACAAAACTTAATAAAATATACATTAAAATACATCAAACAGATGTATATATAGTTCTGACACCTTTAAGAATTAACTTAGGTAATAATAAGTATATAAAGGCTCATTGTTTATTCTGCTTTGCTATAAAATGACAAAAATCTTCACAATCATAACAAAAAAACACCATTTTTCACTGTTATGTTGAGTAACACAAGGTGTGATTGTAAAATTATTAAAATTGTTATATTTAGAAACAGAAAGTAGGAAGTTATATATAGGTGAAAGTGAAAACAAAATGGTGAAACATACGGCCAAGGTTCATAGTCATAATAAATTTGGATAAATAATGGATGTTTTATACATCCATATATAAAATCACTACTGTATTTTTAACATTTTTCTTGGAAAATTCCACAGATAATTCTACCACATGTAAAATTTACTACCAAAAATATAAAAAAGGATAATGATAAAACTTGTATGTCTGAAAAACATTTCATGTATATCCCACCTGGTAAGTGTCTTGCTAGTTTTTTCCAATCATTTCCAATGTTTTCAGCCACATGGTACATTTCAACAACATCTATCTCTTGGCTGCATGCTGATGAAGCATGAAAAAACACAGCAAAAAAAAGACTTATAAACAGGTATATATCAGAAAAAATTTTAAATGACTCATTCAATAAGAACATGAATTGCAGTTACTGAGGAAACCTATTACATGTGCATTAAGAAACAACAAGACATTCCTTTTGTTAAGTTTCTTCTGATGAACTTTTGGTTCTTTAACTGGAGGCCTCAATCATGAAGTAAGTTATTATAAAAGTGAGATTGAAAAGTTTACTAAAAATATCTTATCATGTTGAAAGTCTAAAATTTTCCTTCAACTATGTCACATGATCATTTTTCCAAAAGATCCGAGATATGCTTAAGAAGTTTAAACTTACTTAATAAAAAGATGAAGATTTTTGTGAAGTAGCATAATTTTATTTGGGAAATTAGTATTTATCATTACACTAAATTTGTTACACATTTTTCACCAATTCATTATAACAAAACTTGAATCACAGTACTATGATGACATATCAATGTCAAAAATATATCTACATTTCCTAGGGAATAATGCTGGCTATACTAATCATGTTGCAAATGCTTATGTGCTTTGGTGTGGAAACTGTAACAGAGCAGTAAATACTTACAAGGCAATTGTCATAGAATTTACCTTATGTTTCAAATTATTTTATTTTTAAGAATTTTCAGACTGGTGGATTGTTACTAATATCACTTCGCTTTTTTTTTTTCTTTCTCATAGTGGAAATACTTAACCAAATGGCAGGAACCTTAGTAGAAACTTACTAGATAGTATGTCTTAAAAATTTTCATATAAGTTGATTTAATTTTTCTTTAATCTTTTTTCATTGTTAAAAGACAAGATGAAATAAGTGGCCAAAATGGCCTGGCCTCTGATCCTTTTCAAACTAAGAGTCATCATATCACCACACATATTCCACCAAAGTTTCATAGACCCGAAGTCTGCCATTTTGGATTTATGACAATAAAGGCAGACATTCCTCACAACTTTAATGATGACTTCACTAGCATTTCAGAATGACCTTCTCATACCACTGTATTGATGTTTTTACCCTTATTTCTGGTGCCTTGCATTCATTTGAGTAAGTAATAGCATTCACATCTGTCTACTCTTTCCATACAGAGTAGGTTAGTTTGACCCACATTGGAAGTGTGAAACTATACATACTGTAACTCTGGATTTACCAATAGTATCTTTACAAAATTTGGCAAGCTTTTGGTAAAAGTTATGTCTGCTGTATTCAAAAAAGCAGATTTTTTAATAAGGTATTCAACCCAAATTGTGTCTGAGAATTTACACAGTCTTTACTGAGCCTGTCTTAAGAATAAAAATAATTATTTTCATATTTCATTTGCATAGCCTCTAGAACATCCTAAGTTAATATCATTTTTTTGCTAAAAATACATATTTTATCTACTGTAACATCAACTGTAACAAATCCTTCAAAGTACAGTCAAGTTAAAAAAGTATGAAATAAAATATATAATAACTTTCTTCTTCATTAAATGCATTATCTTTTGCTAGATCATCAATTTAGTTAGCATCAAAACTTCAATTGTTAATTATTTCACACCTGTTTTATTTTACTTTTACTGTTTTATTGCCAGACTTTATTTCAGGGAAGCTGTTTATTACTCGTTGAAAAGCAATAAAACACAGCAAGAGCCCATACTTGTTTCACCCCATAGAGAAAGTAAACAAACTGATTAAGTTACACATAGTTTGAGCTTGAAAGCTTGAGTTAAATTCATATAATCTTAAATTTTATTTTTGTTACCTAACCTAAAATATGCCTAATATTTTGTTACTTGTTGTCCAAAAAATAACATACATAGCTTTCAAATATTCATTTTAGGACACAAAAATATATCACGCACTAGTATAGAATGTCCCAAAACTACTATAATTTATTTTGCTTTCTAACTAAGTTATAAATAGTTTTAAAAAATGCCATTACTGACAGGAGTAACAACTTCACTCAACACATGTCAAGCTTTTTTTGTGAACTACGAAATCAAGAATGTAAGAAGCTTGTCATTATGTATAGTTTGTGTTTCTAACATGTCATTCATGCTATCGTAACAGCTTCAAAGTCAGAGGCTGTACAACTTCCCGATTCTGAAAAAATCTTATACTTATGTAAACTATTGATCACAGTGTTTCAGTTTGTTCACACAAGCACAAAATGATGTCTTACACTCATCTGAGTAGATAATAGCATTATAATTATTGCCTTGGTAGTAATGACAATGTTTTGGGCCAAGATCCAAAACATTGTCATCATTTCAAAATAAATTTAGTATTTTCCACCTGTTGTTGTTTGTTTTTAACAAGTAATATATTTTTACTATTCTAATGTAACTAGACACAACTAGGCTGTAAACTAACACAACAAATATTGCCTGACACTGAAAGGTTATGACATAAATGTTGAAACAGAATAAATGATTAGAAATCAATAGATCTTAAAACTGTGTCATAAAAATCACTGACAAACTAGATGAACTCTCCAACAATCTTAATATACATATATTTTTGTGGTTCCATCTACAACCTCCACAAATGTTTGAGATTTCATGTGCTTGTTAGATCACATTGATTCTAGAACTCTGTAGCAAATTATACAAAACTCTAAATTATTTAAAAGCTTATTTATTTGTGGATTTCTTTTCCTCTCGAAAACGAGAATTTCAGTGCAGAAAAAACACCAAAGAGGATTAACTTATTTTTGGATTTACTACTTCTGCTGCAACAGAGTAGTTTCACTGAATTCACAGCTCACCAGTGGTGTTTGAAAGAGCAAAACAAATAATTAAAGTAGGCCTCATATAGTGGTGGAATGTAAGCAATTTGTTTGGTTTGATGAAAAGTCCTTTACTCAATGCTAATAAACTAAAATATTTCAGGTGTTTGGATAATGTGCCATAACATCATAATTAATTATCTGTTATTATCCAATGGACTAACTGGTTATTTATTTGTGAATTTCTTTTCCTTAACAAAACTTGAAGTTCAGTAAAAAGAAAAGATGATGTAGACGCCTAATCAATTCTTTAATTTACTACTTCTGCTCTACTTGATAAATGGGGTTCTCAAATATATTTTACTCTCAAAAAAGGGGGTCTGTACTGAAAAAGTTTGAGGACCCAGTTAGAGGCTACTGAAAGAATGTTTTTTTTTCTGAAGAATGTGTATGTGAACCCAATGAAAAACAAAACAAAGTAGAAACCAAAAATATTAAAAAAGGAAAGATAACAGAAGTTTGAATAAATAAATAATTAGATAGTGAACAGACAAGTAAAAGTGGCTTGGAGTTAAACATAAGAACTGTACAACAAAGACAGTGTTTTATTACAAATTATGTACAGAATCTAGTGAGCAACATTATAATTACTGAGAGAATAACATTAAAAATAGACACATTACCTAAACAGGTAGGAATTAATGATCATAAATAAAAAATTGGGCTGATAATTCTCCTGGGGAAATTTGTGAAATTTCAAAGAACATTTTCAGTCCATTTAAAACCTTGAAAAAGGATAGAAAATACTGTTAAGAATAGAAAATATTTTATCCAGTTCAGTTGACATCATTACTATGGCATAACTACTTAAGAACAAACATAAAAACAAATTTCATTCCCTTGCTTCAACACAGACTTGCAGAAATCAAAAGAATTTTTATATGCTGACAAAACTTCAATAGTTACAGATATTTTTCAAAGTGTGCAATTATCTTTCTAAGTTAAAGTATGAAATATGTGTAAAATTATCCTTCATCCACTGACCAAACTAAGTTAACATCCTCCTCCTCTTTTTTTTTTTGGGGGGGGGGGGGGGATAATGACTTAAAGGACTTTATATACGGTTCACAAATGTTAAAAACACAAAATAAGGATATATTTTTAATGTAAATGCATCTAACAAAACAAAAGTTAACATACCCAACACCTTTTCAGGAACTACTGTTGGGAAGACTCGAGCAGAATGTGAAACATTGTTTGGTTTAAAAGGCAAACCAGCAACCATCATAGGATGCCCTGCATGTTTTATATTATAACAATAGCTGTTTCCTATTTGAACTCCTTGGGAATTCTGAATAGTTATGATATTTGGACTCCCTCGATATGATTTGTGTATACCTGTCAGAATAAAAGAGTAACTTTTTAAACAAATATTTTACTTTGAAATAACATTAAATTTTTTTTAGTGTCAAAAGAAACAGAGAGACAACAAGTCAGGGCATTAAAACAATAACGTGCTTTTTTACGTATTTATGTTGATAGATTATAAACATAACACAGCTGAAAGGTAAAAGCCTAAAAGTAAATTGTCACCAAAGTAAAAACTAACTTCATAAAGTTCATGAAAACTAGCCTATAGGATAGGTAAATATAAAAAAGAACAATATGTAAGATAAAAGGTCATAATTTTTGTAATATATTATGGATGTTGAAATGCAGTAAGTTCTGTTACATGACATTTTAAACAAAGCAGTAGACAACAATTGATAATACAGTGTTTACATGTGTTCTGAACTACTTATACATGATGATGACAAAACATTGTTGAAACTTTGTACATTTGTTACTATGTTAAAATTGTAATAAAGTTTCCTTCATTACCAATTCAAGCCACCTTCAAACTTTAAATGCCCTAACTTTATTCCAGTACTTGACATTACTCATGAAAGTGATGATTTCATGCTGTAGAAACACTTAGGGAATTTAAATAAACATTTTTCTCAGATGACCATGCTCATTTCGAGTTTCAGGATCTGTCTTTTTTTTAAATTAAAGTTTTATTAGATCATAATAATCATAAGTAAAATCTTGTTTTTACCTTGTTGAAACTCTCTCTCACTTATCTTTGACTCTCTTGCTGGCTCAGGTTTGTTTTCCTGTATTTCTGGCTTTGATTTCAACTCTTCCTCACCTTTGATATTTTATTATAAAATAGAATTAATAATTAATAATGCAGCAGATAATTATTTGTAACTTTTTATTGTGACTCTCTGTACCTGAGTTACACACACAAGTTGTTATATGGTGGACATGTTCACCTGTCACATGAAAACATATAAGCCCAAAGTGTTACAGAATACCCTTTAAAACTATTAAGTAAATGTAATTGTGTGCTAGTTATACCCTAGTTCCAAAATTCATTGTCAGTTATTAGCGACTAGTTTGTTAAAAGAATGTGCACAAGGTCAGTATACTGTAGAAGTAATGTTGACTATAACTGTTATGGTGTAAATACCTTTTACAAACCATCAAAAAATGATAATAATTATATATTTGTCACAAGAAATTAGTACTAGGCTTACTATACTTTTATACTTTTTTTTTCATCTAGTCCCTTAGGGATTTTCAAGAATCAGATGAGTGTATAACAGTAGTATTCCAACCACACTATATTCGTCACATTCACTGCCAATGACATATTTTGCATAATACAGAGTTATTCAGGCCGGCTGGGATAAAGCAAACATAGTAGTGTTTGTATAGCCATTTTTACAACAATAATTTTTATGAGGTGAATGACATGCAAACTGCATTCATACCATAACAATTGTTGTTCAAAGAAATATCTTATATAAAAAGTGCTCCAATCACTAATATTTAAAACAATTGATTATTGAAACATAAAACTGTAAAAAAAACAAAAAAGTTTTAAATTGAGCCTCATGTATACTTTACAAGTGAACTTTTTACCAAATATGGAAGTCTAAAACCATGTGCAAAACATTTTAACTTATTGGTTGAACAATATGCTACTGATACTGTTTTCTAAAATAATCTATAATAAAAATACCAAATTGCATTCCTGTTAATAAAGCTCACACTATAGGAAAACAAAAAGCAAGAAACCAGCTCTGGACAGATTCCTGTATTTGAATAAGAAAACACAAAAACAGACCTTAAAGGAAACTCTAGAATGACGTTTCATTCTTAACCCAAACAACAAAACCAGAATAAAAATAAACTTATAACACATTCATATAGCAAAGGATTGGGAAGTGTGGTGTTAAGGTTGTTCTAAGGCGAGGAGTGGAAATTACGGCTTTACATAATAATTTTAGACATCCCTTCAAAAAGGACATTAAATTCTTTGTTAAACTATCACAGTGTTAGCCCTAAATTAACTCATTAACTGCTGATTCCCTGTATATGGTATGAACCACCTCCTGCAGTTGAATGCAAGTGTGCTGTATACACCATACAGCTTGCAAACATTCTGTGCACGTTTAGAGTAGCCGCAGTCAATGGGTTAAGTAAAACATTTCCTGTTGAAATATGTGGTATTTTACAATCAGTCTAAGTTGTACTAACAAGCTCATAAACAAATGCTAAGATCCCATTTTATGATTGTCTTGATTTGATCTTTATTTTGTATATTTATTTCATAGACTATCCATATCTTGTAACCAAAGGACTGGAGTTGGCAATACAATTGTGTGTTTGTTTGTTGTTAAGCACAAAGTTACACAATAGGCTGTCTGTGCATTGCCCACCATGCGTATCTAAACCTGATTTTTAGCATTATAAATCTGCAGACTTCTTCTGAGCCACTGGGAAGACTTCTACATTGAAGAAAGTGATATTACAAATACATCATGTTAGTGTAGCTAATATAATGTGCAAAGTTTAGTATACTCTAATCCCTTATAGTGATGGCACACAATGAGACACACATTTGGCATGTAATGCTGTTTGAATACAAGATGGGAAACAATGCCTCTGTAGC